TAATGAGTCTTCCTCCAACCCTGATGCCACATTTTTCTTCATATAATCCAGTATCATGAATTATTTGCTCAGCATACAGACTGAATAAACATGGTGAAAGAATACAACCCTGGCACATACCTTTCCTAATTTCAAACCATTTGGGGTTCCCTTGTTCTGTTTGAACAACTGCCTCTTGGTTTATGTGCAGGTTCATCATGAACAAAATTAAGTGTTCTGGAATACTCATGCTGCAATAGTGTCCATACCTTGTCATGAGCCACACAACACAAGCCTTTGCTTAGTCAATAAAGCACAGCTAAACATCTTTTAGCCACAATCCATCTAACATGAGCGATGCTATCTTTCTTTCCACGTCCTATTCTGAATCCAACTTGAATCTCTGGAAATTCTCTATCAGTGTATGGTTGCAGCCATTTTTGTATGATCTATAGCAAAATTTTACTTGCCTGCAAAATTAATGATATTGTCTGATGATTTTCACATTCCATTGGGTTATCTCTCTGGAATAGACACAAATATGGCTATCTTCCACTCATCTGGTTGGGTAGTTGTCTTCCAAATTTCTTGACATAGAAGAGTAAATGCCTCCAGTGCAGCATCATTTTCTTGAAATATTTCCATTTGTATTCTATCAATTCCCAGTCTTGTTCTTTGCTTATGCCTTCAATGTACCTTGGACTTTTTCCTTCAGTATTACAGGCTCTTGATCATATACTACCTCTTGAAATGTGGTACACTTACTCTTTATTTCTTCCATCTTCTTTTGATTATTTATGCAGAATTAAATATTTTGCCCATAGAATCCTTCAATATTGCAAATTGAGTCTTAATTTTATTATTATTATTATTATTTTTATCATTTCCCTCAGTTTGAGATAGCTGAGTGTGTTCTTCTCTTTTGGTTTTCTAACTCTAGGTCTTCGCATATTTCATTACAGTATTTTACCTGTCTTCTTGAGCTGATCTTGCAAATTTTCTATTCAGATCTACTTACTCATTGCTTCCATTTGTTTTAGATCTCTCTACACTGGAGAACAAATTTCAGAGTCTCTTTGGACATCCATTTTATTCTTTCCTTCTTTCTTGTCTTCATAATGACCTTTTGTTTTCTTCCTGAATGATGTTCTTGAGGTCATCCCCCAACTCTTCTGGTCTTTGGTCTTTAGTGTCTAATGCATCAAACAGGTTCTTCAGATAATCTCTAAATTCAGGTGGGATATGTTCAAGGTCATACTTTGCCACTCATGGACTTGTTTTAATTTCTTCAGCTACAGCCTCTACTTGCACACGAGAAATTGATGGTCTATTCACAGTAAGCCTCTGTGTTTGTTTTGACTGATATTATGGGACATTTCCATCTTCTCTTTCCACAGATATATTCAATTTGATTTCTGTGTGTGCCATCTGGTGAAATCCATGTGTATAGTCTTCCTTTATGTTATTTAACAAAGGTATTTGCAATGATGAAGTCAGTGGTCTTGCAAAATTATATCGTGTTATCTCCAGCATTGTTTCTATCCCCAAGGTCATAATTTGCAATTACTGATCATTCCTCTTTTTTTCCAACCTGTACATTCCCATCACCAGTAATTATCAATACATCTGATTGCATGTTTGATCAATTTCAGACTAAAGCAGTTGATAGAATTTATCAATTTAATCTTCAGTGGCTTTTGTGCTTGGTGTGTAAATTTGAATAATAGTGACATTAGCTGGTCTTCCTTGTACGCATATAGATGCTATTGTTGTTAAGTGCTGTAGAGTCATTTCCGACCCATAGCGACCCTGTATAGGGTTTTCGAGGAGCAACTTGTGAGCTTGAACTGCCAACCTTGCAATTCAAACAGCTTTTCAGTCTGG